GTAATTTAAGGGACCTAGTTGTTTATTAACCTAACTAAGGCTTGCATCTCACGTTCTTCTCTTCACTTCCACTGATTCTACTTACTATAGTCTTGGTAAATTTTCATGTAGGCAATTGTTAGTATTCTTTGATATATTTCAGGTCATTTGTATATGTATTTGTATTTCAGGTCTATATTCTACGTCATCGTTGGCATATTTTCCTTTCTTTTGAACAGTTCCGTCAGGTATCTTTCCCATTCGTTCCCTTTCCATCCTTTTTTTACCAACTGCTTTGTTTTATTTAGTATTCTTCTACAGGTGTCTCGAGATTCTGGAGTATTTGATGTATTTGTCAATTGACAATAAATAATATTGTACAAAATTCATAATAATTTATGGTTCTTGTAGCTAAACGTAAAGAATGTCTTCAATTTCTTTGTTTTTTTCACCTCATTTAAGATCGTCCTCCATTATCGTATCAATTCTTTGTGTGAATTTCATTCATCCAAAAAATTTATAAATAACCGTTTCGTCAAACATTTTTTGTTTTTAAATGAAATATATATCGCGTAGCTTAAGTCAACAATTCAGAAGAGAATCGGACAAAAAAAAACATTCTATTGACAAAGCACCTGTACAGTCATTTGAAAATGACCTTTGTTCTCTCAAAGGGGATAAACAAACCGTGTAAGGCTTGCCCTAATGAAGCGATATTCAAAGTTTGAATATTACTTACTTACATAAACTTTTTTGCCTACGGGTACTATAACTAATAGAAGAGTAGGTTTGTTAGTAGATGACTGAAGTCCGTCCTAGAGCGGAAATGACATGGTTCATCACTGATAAGCTATAAAAAAGACCACGTGACCAATATGGCGGTCGACTGAGTAACTGTAATGTTGGCCATAATGAAGAATTTTGGTGGTACTGATTGAAGAAGTAAATAAACGTTTGTGTACAATTGTAAACACACTCAAAATTGAATTGTTTTGACTTCAAATTGAATTTTCCATAAAAAATATGTGTATTATATCGATCCTTGTCAAAATTGTTGTGACACGATTACCAACTTTTTGAACGGCACAAATCTAACATTCGGCGTTCAGCAATAAGAGCTAAAGTATACTAAGCAGGTATTTACGAAAGTTTTTGCTCTTATCGCAAATATAATCCTTCCACGATCGTATCATAAAATAAATACTGGATATGGCACTCCGGGAGTGACCAACAAGGGGAAGCATAGCTTTCTTATCATCTACCCACGGAGCGATGATATTTTTTTTATTTTAATTTACCAAATTTATTTTTATTTTTTTGTGGAAAATTGTTTTGCTAAAATAATGATCATTAATCATTGAGTCGTGGGACAATACCAAAGAGATTAAATGTCGCATCAGAAAGGCCAAAAGTGCATTCTTAACTATGAGCTCTGTGTTTAAAAGCCATGACCTCACCCTGAAAACAAAAATAAGGCTCCTTAAATGTTACGTGTACTCAGTACTTCTGTATGGAGTAGAAACGTGGGCATTGAAGGAGGAAACTCTATCAAAACTTCAGGCTTTTGAATTATGGTTATACAGAAGATCCTAAAGATACCATGGACAGACAAAGTCACCAATGAAGAAGTACTGCGGAGGATGAACACAAGCGCGGATTTGGTCAACATTGTGAAGGCCGTAGCTGGAGTACTTGGACATATAATGAGAAATCAAGGCAGATACGAGCTACTCCAATGCATTTTGCAGGTAAAATTGAAGGAAAAAGAGCCCCAGGACGAAGAAGAATATCCTGGCTTGCTAAAGTGAGAGCATGGTATAGAAAGACCTCAACACAGCTATTTCGTATAGGAACGGACAGGCACCCTAAGAAGAAGAATGATCATTCGTTATAAATTAATTCTATTAAAATATTTTAATAGTATTTAAAGAAATAGTTAAGAATCTCGTGCATCTTTGACGAGCAGGCTTAATAATAAAAAAAATGATTAAGTTTTCTTTGTTGCTGCCTTGCTTAAGATGGTGATTCGTTATGATGAGGAGAGAAAATACAAAAAGAAAGTTCTAAGGAAGATTTTTGGACAGATAAATGGAAATGTGATGTGCAGATTCAGATACAACAGCGAAAATTGACAACTATTAAAAGAAACACCCATTTCAAAATTCGCTAACTTCGATCTCGGCTGGTTATGTAATCCGATGATGAGGATGATTGCCAAGAGACCTTATAATATAGATTAAAAGACAGGCACGAAATAGATTCAAGGATGAAGCGGCTGCTGCAGAAGCGCGATATTCTCATAAATTTCGTCTTCTTGACATTCATTGTTAGACAATACTCTTTTCAATACTCCGCTATTCTGGTCACCAGTCTCTAAAGATCTTCAATATTTTCCTCTAAGATCACAGTGTCGTCCGCATATCTAATGTTGTTAATGGGAACTCCATTTACCTTTATTCCAGCTGTTTCCAGATGTTATTGGCGACAATACGCATCCCTGTCTCACTCCACATCTAATTTCAATTTCTTCTGACAGCTGTTCGTTAACACCTACTTTTGCTCGCTGTTTATAGTATAAATTTGATATGATCCTGAGGTCGTTGTAGTCAATCATCTTTGATTTCAGGACATTCAATAATTGTTCATGTCGTACTTTATCGAATGCTTTATTATAGTCAATAAAAAATGCATATATATCTTGATTGACGTCCAGGCATCTTTGAATTTGTATATTAAGTGAAAAAGAGCTTCACGCGTTTCTAGGCCTTTGCCAAAACCAAATTGTGTATCATTAACGTCTGTGTCCAGTTTGTGATATATTCGGTTATGGATGACTTTCGGTAACAACTTTAGCACATGAGACATCGAGCTAATGGTGCGGTTAATCGCTGCATTCTCTTGCGTTTTTCTTTTTGGGAAGACATAATAATCGACGTTATACACTCTTTGGGTAATACGCCTTGTATGCCAAGGGACAAATAATAGAACAGGTAGCTTCCATAAAATATTTGGGAGCAAATATCAACAGCCAGTGTAATCCAAAAAAAAGAAACCTATGAAGAATTGAACAAGCGAGGAAAACACTCGCATGAGCATGAAAACATTTTTTACAAGATCAGACCTTAGTCTAGAGCTCAGAAGTTACGATTTCTCTGTTTTGCTGTATGGCTGTGAAAGTTGGATAATGGACTCTGAAACAGAAAAAAGAATAGATGCCTTTGAAATGTATAGATACAGACGGATACTGAGAATTTCATGAGTACAAAAAGTTACCAATGTTGAGGTACTTCGGCATAAGTAAAGAGAGAGAAATACAATACGTGGGTCATGTGTTGAGAGGTGAAAGATATGATTTACTCCAAATTATATTGGAATGTAAAGTTCAGGGCAAAAGATCGTTGGAAGACGCCAGAACTCGAGGCTGAAAGACCTGAGGAATGGTTTGCATCCACAGAATCTAGTGCAGCAGTTTACAAAGCTACAATTGCCAATTAGATCTCCAACCTTTAAAAGGAGACGGTGTAATAAGAAGAAGCCCAAATTTGGGCTGTAGAGCTATTGCAACAATGGGCAAGATATCAACAATTGCAGCAAAAAAGGAATTTCATCCATGAGTTCTCTAATAAAGTTATATGCAAGCTATGCGCTTTATTTATTTATACTAGATCGCATTGCTATTATTAATAAACATGGCTGTACATCGATAGGATATCTGTATCGAACTTTACTTGATTATTACAGTTCGTCTTAATGGCCAAATCTTACGATCGTGGAAAAATTAATATTTTAAAGACATTTAAGGCACAAACAAATGATCTGACGGAACAAAACGACATCAACCAATGATATGCATAGGTGAAGCTTTCGTTGTCAGCTACTCGGTTAGTTAGAACTACGTTCAGACTGTTAGTAAAATAAAAAATAACTATTAAAAATAAAGATTTATTTTATTTTGGCTACGATAACATTTATAAATGCTATATTTTTGTTTTCATCATCATATACTATACCCGATTGATACTATGAACTTAAGACAATAATTATAAACTTTAAAGTTTAACAATCAACCGATCTACCGTACTTAAAATGTATGTAATATACAGTATTCATTGTAATTAAGTCTACAGTCGTTTACGACATCAATAATTACGGTAACTGCAAAATTTTACATTAGGACAACACGGAGATTCTTTAATATACGAATTTATCAACATAAATATCTCAAAACACCAAAATAAACGATCATAATGTATTCATATTGATGTTTAATTATGAAATACTAGTAAGACAAAAGTGAAATATTGTGCAGTTTGAGTTTTTTTTCAATACTATTGTTCTTCATTTTAAGTTCTTCTCTAAGATTGAGGTATACTTGTTATATATTCAGATTTAAAGTAATTATTGATGCTTAAAACGGTTGTTTTTTGTTTTAATTACAGTGATCAGTGTATTTTTCTTCAAACAAAACCCTTGTCTGATTTTTACGAAATAAAATCTTTAACAAACAAAAAACTTTGGTTGTAGTTTCTACACACAAAACAAAAGGTTCTATATAAAATGCCATTTTCATAAAATTGAAAAAATAAAAAACGATTGTTACATCTCTCGTATATCGACGGAACATTTTGTTTTGAGCGTAGAAAGAATTCCCAGCGACTAGACAAAAGGGCTAAAGTGTTTTCTACGTTTTTCATGTTTCGCGGCTAACTACGGCGTCCAAGAAACCTAAAATTTATTTCACAATTACGAATTTTTGGTCTTCTTTGTTTGTACTTATTTGTGGCATACGTTGTCGTTCGAAGGTTCCACCACCAAATTCATATTTCCTCTATGTAAACTGACCTCTTCTCAGAGATTTTGTTCGCCATCTACTCAGTGTCTTATAAAAGTTTCACAGTGTATAGTATCATTGAAGAAGACAATCTAAGGAATAATAATTCAGGTAGAAGTTTAACAAAAGAAGGAGTTCTATGTGCGTGTTACCATTTATGATGTCTCAATTTGATGAACACCTTTTATTTTTAATGTCCAGTCATTATTTGAGGTTTCCTCTCATCACAACACTGTGAATAAGTTTTCAGACTGTAATATAAAACAATAGATAGATCACGAAGACATTTAGGTGAAGGAAAGACATGTATCTAGGGTGTGAGATGACCTACCGACGTCCGCTCTCTCTCTCTGGGCTGTGAGATGACTTACCGTCTCCGCATTGACTGGAAAACATCCACGTTCATCCCTATATTCTAAAAAGGAACTCTGCTAGATTGCAGCCACTACAGAACGGTAACCCTAATATCCGATGCAAACAAGGTTCTACTTTATGTAATACATGAAAGACTAAAAGCTTTTCTATTGTCTCAGATATCAGAAGAACAAGCGGGATTTGTTCCAGGAAAAGGCACAAGAGAACACATCCTTAATGTCATACAGCTAATCGAAAGAACTCGTGAATTCAATACTACTATGCTTATGTGCTTTGTGGATTACACAAAGTCAAAATGACAACAGCTATGGTCCGCATATTAGCGGAAATGGGAACACCCCACCACTTAATTCAACTAATTAGAAGTCTATATAAAAAATAATACACAGTAAAAATAAACAGCACCCATTCCGATCATTTTAGAACAGAGGCAGGTGTGAGGCAGGGATGCATAATATGGAAAAATTCTAGCATAATAATACACACAAAACTAGACGCTTTTGAAATGTGGGTATACCGCTGCATGTTACGAATATCCTGGATTGATCATCGCACTAACGAAGGAAAGAGACCTACGGGAAGATCTCCAAGCCGTTGGGTAGATCAAACAAAAATATTGATTAACCAAGGGTTACATGAAGCCGAACAACTAGCCTGATGGTGTCACTACATCCCAAAAGGGATTAGAACTGAGGAGAAGAATCTGTCTAAACATAATTTTTTTCACCCTAACCCATGCTGTGCTATTTTGACATCAATATTATTTTCCAACGTTTAGTTTTCTTTGTTTTTCAAGGATTTAAGCTTTAAATGAACGTTTCCAAAGAAATATGAATTTTTCGAGGACCTTCTCGCGACTTTTAAGCTCCCTTTTGTCGACATCTACGAGGGAAATGAAAATGCCAGCATTTTCTTAATTATTTTAGTGCAATGTACGTCTTGCACTTAAACTAATAACTATAAGGTACATAATATAAATAAAGAAGCATTTTCTTATTAAAAAAAATGTATAAAGAAGGCGATAAAATCGAGATAGTACAAAATATCCATTCGGGGTGCAAAATTAACGGGGCATCATCATCTTTGTTTTTATTATTTTTTTGTAATATTACATAGAAAAATAGAAAATGACAAGTATAAAAGCGATTTACTTAAGAAGACTCCATTTAGTAATGAAATTATGGATTATCGATTGTATAGCGACGCTCTCTCAAACTAGTTTTATGTTTTTTCGATATATTCGCATCATATTAAATCCAAAAACAATTTCTTTCTTCCAACAAAACATATTTTTTCGTAAATTATCGTTTTTCGACAAACGAAGAAGTTTTTTGCCCAAGTATACATATACAAAGGTTTATGTGAATCGTTTTTGGAAATAATCAATTCAAATATCATTCCAAAGTCGCCGGCAACATTGTACTGAATGTTACCAACGATATTTTCGCTTTTATACTTGATTATGTTAGAAATCTCATATAGTTGTAGTGTACTTGTGTAACAGTTGCTGATATATATTTTTTTGTAAATTATTAATTGCTGTTGACCCGTTGATTTTTGTTGTACACATATTTTATATGATATACATACAGTACTTAAATTTTTCTGTCTCACATACCATTCTAGGATCGAAACTTTATGTATTCAAAAATTAGAGCACACATTTTTAGCTTTACAGTGTTGCCGTATGTGTAATATAGTATCGGTTCTGGGTAAATACGCGTACATCTGTCAGACGGAAAAATTTACGTACTGCGTTTAAAATTGAAGTGTGCATCCCTGTCAAATCGAAACTTCTTAAACTCTGTTAACCTTTAACATTTCGTACGCTCTTTTAAACAAACATAACAAAGTACACTTATAAGCTAGTCTTCCATAAGCTAAATCGACAACAATAAAAAATATCTATATTATCTATTTACGAAAATATAGTATTTCGGAATTCGATAGTTTCATTTAAGCTAAGACGGTTTTTTATTTGTTTTCATTTTTTTTTGTCGACGTGATGCAGAAATCGCCCAAAACAAGTACTCCGTTGTGGAGTCTGATCCGGCCAGGTATTTGACACGTTTTCTGCGCGGTATAGGCAACAAGGACAAAAAATATGTTTTTTCTGTAGTAAATTACGTAGTGGTATTTTATTATACACAAAAATGCATACTTCCTAATCTTCGGTCATCATTTATCAAAAGAATTAGCAACTTTACATTTCCGGGTATTATGCATACCAATATTGATTATGCTCCCCCTTGGACTATACAACTTATACTAAGGACAATACCCCTTCATCACTTTTTCTCCAATACTTCTACAATATTAAAAATAAATATTCATCCTGTCAACTAGTTTATACCGATGCATCAAAAACACCCGACAAACTCTTAATCGACCTGAAGACATGACAGTAATATTCACAGATTCCTTAAGTGCAATCCAGGAAATTCAGAAAATATATCCGAATCATCCGATTTTAGAACAGATTGAAAAAGACCTTGTGATTCTACAAAATAATCATAAACAACTACATATTATATGGATACCTTCTCATGTGGGGATACCAGGAAGTGAGGTAGCTGATCAAATGGCCAAAGAAGCTTGTAAAATGGAGAGATCCGATGATAGTACTAACCAAATTCCTCACTCAGATATGAAAAAATGCATCAATGAGTACATAAAAAACTTATAGTTACGAAGATGGCAACTCTTACCAGTGAAAACACCAATTTTAGTAAAGCGAAGAGACCAGGTTGTACTGAATAGGACATACCAGATTGACACACGAACACCTACTAAGGAAGGAACCTCATAGAATATGCTACGCCAGTGATATCAATATAACTGTAGGCCACATTGCTATAGACTGTCCATTATATCAAATGGAAAGACAAGCTACTGGACTACCAAGTGATATAAAGTGCGCTTTGGACAGTGCGAATTGTGACAAAATCATTAGGTTTAAAAAAAACGAAATTGTATAATCAAAAGTGATACCTACTTCAAGAAAAATTTAAAAAATATTTAAAATGGCGTTTTCTGAGTGTTGATATACTGACTTGTTACTCAGAAAACAGAGTGATCATGTTAGAACTTAACTGTCGATAAATTTGAATAACCTCAATCTTGCTATTAACATCCACTACCTAATTTAACTACAGGAAACGTATAGGTTTCTCGCCTTTTTAGTAAATGTGTCATAATCCTGGGAAAAACTTATTTTTCTGTGCTACATAATAGACTGACATATCTCACCTAACGATGAACGCTCTATATTTCGAAAAAATTAAATTGTTGTAGACTATTTTCTGCATCAAGTCGTGCTGTAATATTTGCAGTTTGACTGAAGCTACACATTAAAAAACATCTATTAAAATTACGATTTTCAGATTGTTTGATTTATACATAAATAGACTCTTTTTATATATTTTTTCTAATTTTTTTTCCACATCGACAACTTCGTTTAAAGAAACAATAGATATGTCATCACATCTGCGAAAATTAGGAACTGAAAAATTGTAAGATTAATAATAGTAAACCAAAAAACAATTATCATGGCATAAAACCAAAGGAATTTATTTACTGCTTACAATCACATTATTTTTCGAGACGATTTGTTTGTATATATTGTACCGATCAAAAAATATTAAATAAACAAGTATTTAATCGTTTTAAAACAAGTCTTTTTATCTTATAGTCCCACAAAAACTTCTAAAACCAAAAACTGTAATATTTTGGTACTTTTCCAATACTTAACAGTTGAATTTTAATATTTTTGATTAAAAGTGAAAATTTTTCACCATTTAAACAATTCAATTTAAGTCAGTCTTAAGAGTTATCGTTTTTTTTTACATACTTTTTAGAGCAAATCAAAAATTATTTATTTCCTGTGTAATTTTTTCACGCAAATAAACGAAAGTGATCTCCAAAAAAATAATATTGTTGTCGAAAACTTTTGTGGGACTGAAAGTAGTTTAGTTTCATGCCATTAGAATTGACGCAATATTCGAATGTTTGATTAGAGGATCGCAAGTAAAAAATGAAAACAAGTAGCGTTACAGTTTTCCACATTTAGATATCAAAATATTTTTTGTAGGCTTACCCGCAGTGTCTCCGTACGTACTAATTTTCTCGACTAATTCTAATCCTTCGACGACGTGTCCGAAAATGCCCGTGAATCCTCTCATCTCCTGGAGGATGATTCTGAATTGAGATCCAACCATGCCCATGTTGTCGTGTCGTTTTTGAGTGCGCCGCATGCCGACGGTGCCTCGTACAGCCATCAGTTTCGTATCGTCCGGTAGAAAGTAGGATTCGTCGAAGATCGATCTTCCACCTCTGCCGTTGTTGAGCTCGAAGTCGCCCGTTATCACGCTTTCGCCTTCCCAGCACTGGAATATCTGGCATCCCTTGTAGCCCATTCCGGCTTCGCCAGTCGTCAGCAAGCCGAAATTCTTCGCCATTTTCGGAGCCACGTCGGCTCGGACTTCTATCACGATGCGCCCCAATTGGGTACCGTTTACCTCGATGTTGAAGTAGTAAAGAGGGCACATATTGGCAGGATTCCTCATTTGCGGCGAGGGGATCATATTCTGCACCAGTATATTGTTTTCTTGATAAATATTTTTCGGAGTGGGAATGACGAGATGAGGAGGAGGGTTGTGGGGAAGATAATTGATCGGGGGAATCGAGTTATGGTTGTGGTAGTCCAAGGAGCCGTTGACGTTTTGCTTGGACAACATATGACGAGAGTACAATTGGGACATGCAATAATTGGCTAGGAATAGTATGGGGTTTTGTTGAGAGGCTGGTAGTATCCGAGAATTTCCCGGATACACCGTCTCGCCGTTGTGGATGTTGCCCAACGCTTGCTTTAACAACTGAAAGTCGAATATCACACTTGAATTCCGGATAAGATCGTCGAGTTGGCATTGCAGGTACATTTCCTGGTAACGCAGTTGCAAACGTTGCTTTTCCATGTTTACGCTCGAGTACAAATTGTGGACGTCCGATAAAGTCTCTGCCATCGATAAATTG